TTAAAAACATCTTTTTTTTTTGTATCCTGTTTTAATATATACTTTGTAGATTTTCTTGTGGTGACTGGCTCATTTATATTTATTTATTTTATTCATGCCTAATAGAATTTCAATGCACAGACTGACACTAAAAGGTACAAAAGTTGTGCCTGTCATGTCACCCCTCCTTATAGCCTGATTTTAACAGAGAGAATCGCCCACCACAGCTTATCAACATTGTTGAAGTAGTCAGAGTGCAGAGTGCATGTGTGAGCCCAATGCAGGAGTGCATTAAAGCAATGCAGTTTAACACCATTGCTCTATTCTTAACCATAAGTAAAAGCAACGACACACAATCAGTATTAATCCACACGGTGGCAAAAGCTAAACTATTTTGAAACTATTTTTGAAATGTAGCACGTTTGTAGGAACAGCTGATGGTGGCTAAAGCATTGACAAACAGCAGAGAATTGTGAGCTCACAAAGATGTTTCAAGAGTTCCCACTTAGATATACTTAGCATTTTTAGCAGGTTTGGCATGCTGTCCCTGGAGAGAACCCTGAGCTTGGAGATATTTGAGCCCAGGGCTCCCGCCCGGTCAATAAGCATGTCAGGGGCTTCGAGATCAGGTAGGTCTCGATAGTTTCCCCTTTAGAAAAGGGAGGAAAAGGAGGAGATGGGGTGGAAGGGGGGATTCTTCCGAAACGAAGATAGAGCAGTAAGGAGAAAATTATCCATTTATAGTAAACTAGGATCACTCTGATTGGATTATTACGATGACCGGCCAGCAATGCTTAATAATATCACATAATCCTCTCGAAATTAGTTTATGAAACTTCACTTAAATCCGTAAAGATCAAGATGGCTTTAGACGTGATATGAGAATATAAAGAGTTATCCAGATAGAGTACAAGCTGCGTGCAGAGGTTACAAGTGACAAAACCCAATTAAATACATAATTTGCAAGCTATAAAAAAACAAGGAGGCAACCATTTTAATTGCACTTGTTTACACTTGAGGAATGAAGAAAGAAACTGATCCATGAACTGTGCACTGTAAAGTTCCTGTCAAGCTCTGACAAAGTTCCATACATCAACAGTCTTTTTTCGATTCTTCCTTTAACAAATGGCCAATGAATCCCCATTTGTAAACGTGTAGATTGCTGAAGCACTCGTCAGAAAAATGATGCAAAAACAGCACAAGGCTGAGGCTATAATGCTGAGGTATTTTTGCAAAAATCACTTTCAACTACTGACTTCACAGTGTCATCTTTGGGTAGGGAAAATAACACAAATTTTCTCTCACACTTCAGAGCTCATCATCCATGCGACTTGATTCATCCGGGATCTGTTACAGTGTTCAGAGTCTGCACACACAGACGGCAGGGTTTGAGTTCCGTATCAATGTCACGCTGACACTGCTAAAAATTCTTTACCCCAACGATTAATTTGAACCACTCTCACTCACAAAGAATCGGTAGTGAAAATGAGGTCAGAACATTGAGTTGTTGAATGAACTTATCCTACTCTATTTAAATTTGCCCTACCAACCACAACCTAGGCCTGATCAGTACAATCAGTGACTCTTTCCCATTCATACACTGCGGCCAATTTAAGTTATAGATATCCCCTATATGGCATGTCTTTGAACTGTTGGGGAAAGCGAAGCACCCGGAGGAAACCCTCAGAGAGAACATGCAAACTCCACACAGGAAGGCCTCCTGGTCCAACTGGGACTTAAACCAGCAACTTTCTTTCTTTGATGCAATTGTACTTATCCACTGTGAATTTCATATATATAAAATTACTAGGTTGTAGATGAATTTGGGGGACACTCAAACCATGTTGCACTCCACCACTGAAAAATGTATGTATGTATGCACTTTGGCCAATACGTTACAATTCCTCATCACAAAAGCAACACAAAATTTGGTGGCACAAGGCTCCTGAATAAAAGTGGATCCCTCCTTTTTCAATTTCAAGTAGGTTTTTTTGTTTGTTTGTTTTAAAGGAATCCATGACAAGGTTTTAAATGCCAAAAATTATTTTTAATTTGTTGTTATTATTCTATTGTCAAGAGCCCTACAGTTTAACAGAAATAATGTTATTACTTTTATGTAGGCAATTAAACACAGATTCTTGACACAGATTCTTAAATATTTTAACTTATATTTAGCACTGAACTCTACTCAGTCACAGGTAAAATATTGGGCGGGTTTCTTTTAAAAATTATGGGCTGTTAACTGTTTCTGAAAGACTTGTTCAGCAAGTTGTGAAATACCTGTCAGATGAGTCTGATGAAAGCATATTTCTGTCATTTCCCACAGTTTCTTTGGTTGAACACACAAATAAAGGATATCCTAAAAGTAAACAAATGACAGTCATACGTTTTCCAAGGCTACTGTCTGGTAGTATACTTTATTATCTTTTATGGTGTTTAAGGGAATCTGAAAGTCATAAAAAATGTTAAAAAGTTGAGTGTGAGTAAATAAAATTTGTATATAAACTTATTACAAGTCACATTTTATTATTTCTTTAATGCTTTTTGGTTTATTTTTCATCTCTGTGTGACTGTGACCACAGTCATTGGATTGAATATTATATACCCCATTTGTTATCCACATTGCTTTTATTAATCCTTATATATTAATCCTATTTATTTAATCTCAGCTATAGTTTATTATATTCATTTATGATAAATCTGATGGTATGGTGGTATTGTTTCATGTATAAGCTACACTGTAAAAATGCTGGATTCCACACAATCAACTTGTGTTGAGACAACACAATGGAAATAAGTTAATTTGTTAGTTTTTGCAAATTTAAGTGGATTGAGCATAAACTATTTAGGTTTTGTTAATATATATTATATTTATTAAAATTAAGAATTAAAATTTCCATCAGAAACATCATATTTATTTGTGTCCTGTTTTAATTGATACTTTGCATGTCAAAGCACAGACTAACACTAAAAGGTACTAATGTGTGATGCCAAGCATTATAATCCGGGTTCTTCGTTGGTGCCTGGGTCATACAGTAACATTACTAAATGCTTTAGCTTTGGAGCAAAAACACTCAGATAACTAAGAATCATCATGAAATATTTTTGATCATGAATGAAGCAAGTAGTCAAGTAGTGGCATAAATGATCAAATGAAGATTCTTTTGAGTTGCCAAGTTATTTATTGTTCTCCTCTATCAAAAAGTGAGTAGGCATTAAGTTTGGTGAATATTTTTTCTCTGCAGCAGACCCTGAAGCTTAGTCCCATTATTTATCAGGGGTTGTCACAGTGAAATGAACCACCAACTTATTTAGCACATGTTTTACGCAGCGGATGCCCTTCCAGTTGCAACCCACCACATGTTTTTTTTGAAATTGTGGGTGTTTATATATATATATATATATATATATATATATATATATATATATATATATATATATATATATATATATATATATATATATATATGTCAAACTAACAATAAAACCTACTCAATTTTTTTTATTAACTTTGTATTATTTTTTTTTGTTCATATAATTTAACCTCCTTTTAGGTGTCAAAATCACTGTTTTCACCTTGTCGCACACCCAGAGTTTTAAACTTCAGCAATGAAAATAACATTTTAAGATATTATTTATCTGGTATCTATTTATTAATCTTAATTAAGCACTAGTGAACTAACTGAAATATGTTATAGTTATTAATGTGAGACTATTATCAATATTATTTTTATACAAAATATAGCTGTTGCACAGTATCAGTGCCATTTCCACCACAACACTGTAATGTTACTTTAAAAAGTATGTGTGAAAGATTATTCAGGTGGTTTTCTATGAAAATGAGAAGTGACATCCGAGCACATGTTCAAGATGTAGGGAATTAAAATGTTTATTAACAACACTTGAAGAAAAGTGTTCACATTGCTTGATAAGGAAATACATTTATTCTACGTCATTTCCAAACATTTTTTACCTTCAAAGATGTTTTTAAAAACCAAACAAAAAATTAAGGTAAATAAGAGTGTTTTGTTTACATGAAAGACTAGTGTCAGTTCAAAGCTAATCAGGTGTGACAGGTGTACAATTCAGCATACAACTAATTTATGTCATTGACAAATGTACAATTATTTTATATATTGTGGAAAGATTGGTTAAACTAGATACAAATATTAGTGATATTATATATATATATATTAATATTATATATATATATATATATATATATTAATATTAATGATATTAGACAATATTGTTTATTGAGATGTGGTGGAATTGACATTTGTTCAATTCACGATGGAAATAAATGTTTCTCTTATCTAAGGTTGTCCTCTTACTGATCTTAAAACTAGAAAAATTGTTTAAACCTATGAGGCTGTGTTATGTTAAATTTGAACAAGTTTTTTTTACTCAACTTCACAAGGCTAAATGTGCCCATAGTTGAGGAACGGCCCATAAATGCAACAATCCATCAAAAATAAGCTCATCTTCACGTTAGTGATTGTCTTGTAATCTATATATTTCTCATAACTCAGGGGTGCTCAACACTGCTCTTCGAGACCTTCCTGCAGATTTCAGTTGCAGCCCATATCAAACACACCTGCCTGTTATTAACAAGCGCTGTTCAGGTCCCATTTGATTGGTTCAGGTGTGTTTGATCAGGGCTGGAGCTGAATTTAGCAGAAGGCTTGAGGAGCCCTGCCCTAAAACAATACACAGCTCTCCCCGGAGGAAAGGAGACAAAAAACTTCCTTGCAAAACCATATGTCAGTATTAATAATTAATAATTGATATTAATAGATCGGGTTGTTTCAGAAATAATTAATAGGCCTATATATTTTTAATTAATCCCATTATAACATTTGTTTTAGTTTAAATCACTGTAGCCAGAACAATACGCATAAATATTGTTAATAATAAAAAAAAGTTTTTCTTTATATTTGCAAAATACAGTTTAGGCTAATTTCGATTTAAAATTATTATGAACGCACGTTCCGGAGGATGTACAGCAACTGCACTGAAGAATATTAGTTCACACACTGCATGTGCTCAGAAAGACATCGCGTCGCTGTGACAGTATTCTGTGAGGAAGAAAGCACATTGAGGGCGGGCTCTTCCGATAGTGCGAATCTGTCGTATAGACCTCATCCAGAGTTTGCTAGTGTACAAGTGAAGCTTGACTTTGGACAACATCCTCGTTGCGCAAACAAAAGCGAACTGACAAAGATGAAAGAGATAACAACGTGATCCTGTTCAATGGATTTGAAACGGAACAATGGATTTAGGTTTCAGACTGTCGAATGCTCAAAATGGTCATTTATGAATGTTGAATACTCTTAAATTAAAGCGCGTGCTAAACGGAGCTGGCGCGAGGGACTGTGAATGCAAGGCGACGCGAAGTGTCCACAGCCGCGGTAAGTAATAAACACTCATGTTTGTGGCTGTAGAATGTGTCATATTATTGCATCAAGAATCAGTTGGCATCATAACCACATTTAAGGCATGTGTCAATATTAGTTCATTTTATAATTACAGGGTTAAATGAAAAAATAAATAAACACAACTTCAAATTTTTATGAATATATAGTCAGATTGTCAAATAAATCTTAACTAACGTGAGCGTGCAATGAACTGCTGGTTGTAAACTAAGATGAATGAACACTATATATTGATATAATTAAAGGGTTCTGTCATCATTAGGCTACTCACCCTTGTTCCAAACCAGTATAAACTACTTTATCTACAGCATAAGCTTCTTTATTATCTTTCTTATTGTTTTTCTTTTTTTGGAAAGCTATTGTAACTTATGAATGAACATAAGTTAATTCCTGCTCAGTTACCGAGTCATACAGTATTAACTGAGCAGGATTTAAGGAGCTGTGTGGAACACTGTTTATATCTAGCTATATGTTTAAGATTAAATCAGTTGAGAAGGATCTTTTTAGCTGCATGTAAAAAAAAATCACAAACGTGAATGGGATTGGATTTTACAGTTTCAAGTCTTCTTTAAATTTTAACTAACTTAACAAAAGCAACAATTAAAGGTGGTAAATCTCCATGATTTTAAATGGATAGTTTATCCCCCCCAGAAATGATGTCATCATTTATTCTCCCTTCACTTGTTCAAAACCGACTTGACTACCTTACTTAAAAACAATGCTGATTGCAGGCGCCCATAGATTTCCAAAGTATTTTTCTTCATAAAAGGAAGTTGATGGATACCATCAACCAGCATAATTTATGATGCATTTTGTGTTCAGCAAAGAAGAAACGCACTCACAAAGTTTTAAAAGCACATGAGAGAGCTTGTAAATTATGAGCTTAATTTCATTTTGGGGTGAATTATATTCTTTTGATTGTACACCATAAAATAATTCTGTAAAATTTACGGAATTACTAGCAATTTTGGTTGGCAGTAATGCTGAAAAACTTACAAGAGTGCTGTCAACAAATAGTACTGTACTACAGCATAGTTGTAATTGTTATTGTACTGGGTGCATGTGGATTTTACCAATAAAACTGTAAAAATTGCTAATAATATTGTCAAATTTGCATGCACACTTTAAATTAACAATTACAACTGCTGTAAAACTACAGCAAAGTTGTAGATGTTAATGTACTGTGTGCTTGTTGAGTTTGACAATAATACTGTAAAAATTGCCAATAATACTGTCATTTACTGTACAAGCACACTTTTAAATTAATAATTACAATTGTGATGTAAAACAGCACAGTTGTAATTGTTAATGTACTGTGTGCTTATAGATTTTGAAAATAATACTGTAAAAATTGCCAATAATACTGTCAAATTTTATATTTTATACAAACCTTTTATATTAATAAATACAATTGTGATGTAAAACTACAGTACAGTTGTAATTGTTCATTTAGGGGCTGATCATGTCGAACGTGCTTTTTGGGTTGAGAGGCACCTTTATTAATTGATTTACTAACGGCCAAGAGCGTTTTGCACAATGCTTATGCCCCCTGCAAGCCTCGTGTTTTAGCTGCCTGCTGCGCCTCGTGTTTTTGCCATTGCGCGATGTGCAATCACAGTTGAAAAAAGTTACGCCAGTCACATATGTTTCGTTCTCAAATGAAAGCAGAGGCGGGGTTTCCGTTGAGGTGACAGCAGTGTTTTTATTGTCAAGACTACTTTTAAAGATGGAGCAGAGACTAGTTTTGAGTTATCAGACACTGTATGACTTCAAACCTTGAACTTCACAATATTATTAAATAATAAAATTATACAAATATTAACACTCGCGCACAATACGCAGCTTATTCAGTCATTGCCTAGTGACCAAAATACTGTAAATTTTAGCACAATCTTTTACAGTGTGTTGTTATAGCATAAATACAGTAGAACATTTGATATGATATAAATAGTCACAGTAATTAACAACAAAATTAATCAACCATATTGGCAGCTTGTTTGCTAGATCCTGCTAATTTTGCTTCTAACTCAAACCTCTAATTCTTACCTCAATCCTGTCCTCACAGGCTCTTGGAGGTATTTCATGTACATTAAGTGTATTGTACAGTATATACAGTATAATAGCCACAAATGGCTTAATGCTATACAGTTGAAGTCAGAATTATTAGCCCCCCTGAATTATTAGCCCCGTTTATTTTTTTTTTTTTCCCAATTTCTGTTAAACGTAGAGAAGATTTTTTTTCAACACATTTCCAAACATAATAGTTGTATTATGTAAAACTGTAATAGTAATTATTCTGATTTCAACTGTATAACAACCACAAATTTGCAACAACAAAAAAAGAGATTTATGTTGAAAACAACAACAACATATCATTATAATTTAATTTGGAAACGCATCACTCTGTTTTTAAGCACCCTTTCAAATATGGAGTCCTTTTGTGAAGCTTGGATTTTTGGCAACCTATCTGGTGTCTCAAGAGTTGATAATGATTGGCCAGATGCTGGCAGATTGTGCTTGGCAAGTAGGCTGATACAGGCTTAGTATTCTACCCTGGTTTTGTTCAGCTGTATATGTGGATGTGATAGAGAGAAAGAGATAGAACATTTGTGAAAAAGAAGAACCAGAGAAACAACCATCCTTCACAACAGTATAACACTATTAAACTTCCCCCTCCTAATTTCTGCTTTGTTTATTTGTTCCTCACTTGGGAAGCAATTGTTTTGTTCCTCCATTACCCATCAAAATGTGTCCCTATTCTGTCTCCATTTGTTAATTTTTTTTCTGTAAGGATCTGTCACACCTAAACCTTCTGTTTGGATTGAAAAAAAAATCATTTTTCTCTTTCTTTTTTTTTTTTCTTGGCAGGTTTGCTTAAGTGTGTTTAAAAGCTTTGCTTATTTAAAATTCTCCTCCACAGTGTATTGCCTTTGCTGGCGTAGGCGTTTGTTGCTCTCAGTGGTATTGGGCACAGGCCAAGTATGAAGGACTAAGAGACAGCAGGTGAAATTATTTATAACTTCTAATTTGTAATGGTGGCAGCCTAATGGTTAAGGATATAAACTTCAAAAACAGAAAGCTTGCACATTAACCCCTATAGAGAGACAGAACAGATACATTATAGATTGATTCTTCCCTATCACCTTTGTGCACTTGCACGACACTCCACACCAGGTTACAGAGACAGTTTTCTGTAACACTGTGTACACCAGGTGCAAAAGAGACAATAAAGAGACAAAAACAAGCCAGAATTTGCATATTTTGGTTTGTGCCGTTGAACTGGCTCTCCATCTTTTGATGTTTGCCAGCACAAAGCTGGAATTGTACACCTGACTCCCACACTTTAAGCTTTATGGAGCATGAAAGTGTTTGTATCTGTTTGTAGCATGTGTGTGTAGGCAGCTTATTAAATGCTCTGGGGTGTCTAAAAGTATGATTAGAGGCTCTTTGCATGGACAAAAGGATATTTTAAGCAAAACAGTTAGATGGATATGAATGGAGATTGGAGACACTAATCCGATTTTAATGCGATTAAGACAATACTCTGATTAAGACTCTACCATGTAAGCAACAATTTTTGAATAATCCGATTAAGGTCATAATCAAACTAAACAGAAATTGAAATAAGACATGTGGAGTATGGCGATGAAGTGCCTTACAGGCATGTAAACACCACAATCGAACTCTTACCATTGTGTAGGACTTTGTAGGACAGTCTATACCCAGCAAGCAGTTTTGGTTTTTAAAATATGTCCAATAGATGTCTAATAGACATAAACATCGGCTAAACAAGCTTGTATACAAACATATAAACAAGGCTAAATTTGGGCAGTCAGTGAAAATCTAATCTAACAATGGGCCAAAACTAGACAATATACAACAAAACAAAAATGAATGACTACACAAATAAAGTATGTCTAAACTGTTTATTTGACGACTAGTCTAGTTTTGGGCTATTCTTAGATGTCTATTAGATTTTAAAGTTTAGCCTTGTTTAAGCCAAGCTATCTACGTTTAGATTTCTAGATGTGTATTAAACACAACATTGTTTGCTGGGTATTCACACGGCTGTTTGACACTATTATCTGCACCTACCGAGTCAGTGAAAGACAACAGAAACCTACATCCAACTAGACGGCTTTACCGCTGTTACCAGTTTGTCCAGAGGCTCACCGCATATGTCGGCAGACTTGTGACATGCAGTGGAGTTAACCTTGACAACGATTTGAGTCTGGCCAAAAAAATAAACAAGTAAATAACAGGGTGAAAATGTGGTAAAATCTGAAAACGTGGTAAAATTTGGCTGTCACATAGGTTTTACTTTTTCTGGATTGCTTTTGAAAACACTGTTGGTTGGGTTTAGGGAAGTGGATGGGTGCTGGTCAATAAGTGCTTATTAAAACACTATCGGTTGGGTTTAGGGAAGGAAAAGGATGGGTGAGTTGATTGATCAGTCAGTCTCGCGACAGCGGCCTCTGGTGGATTTATTTGAGAAGAGCAGGCATGAATGGCATGCACAAGAAAACTTTGAGCCTACACAGCAGCCTCTGGTGTACTCATGAAAACAAAAAAAATACAATAAAAACATATCCTGAGATATATTTTGGCACTCTCCAGAACTGTATATAAGGGTACGTCTTCAGAATGAGCCTCGGTTGTGATTTGTTCAGTCAAATTGCCCAGCCAGGTAAAAAAGGGCCATCGTCCTAGCAGAAACGTCCACTGTACTCTTAAAAAAAAAAAAAAAAAAAAAAAAAAAGACATCATTTTGCTATAAGGCTGATATCTAAAAGCTCAGATATCATTTATGCAAATATGGGTTGTCAACAGTATTATTTTAGCTTCATCATTTTGTATTTTTAAGGTGACTATCAACCAATGAATGAGTTTGAAATTTAATTAAATCAGCTATAGGAGAGGTTATAGACCATGACTACATTTACATAGACATCAGTAATCAAATTGTTTGCCTTGAT